GGGAAAGATCCAGCTGTCGAGGTCATAATCACTATCAACATCTTCTATAGCGTTAACTCCGTTGTTGCTGACGTAGAATGGAGGTCTTCCAGTATGCGAAACAATCATGAATGTAATAACAACACCCAAATTAACAACATCTTAAATTAACAACATCTCAAATTAACAACATCTCAAAAGCATCTCAACGTCTCTTCATCAACATCTCATATCATCATAGTAATTCATCAAACATCCTTTATTTATTACAAATTATCAGCACAACATCATTAGCAACTTCTCACTAACAACTCAGCTGTACATTAATACCACAGTAATTCATACTGCTATTCTGCAATTCTTACATCATTACTGTCACTAATCCTACTGTTATAATTTAAACAGCAGCCTCTAAGCATCTCATCTTCATCATTCTGTACAAAACCAGCGCAACGATCAACACGGGAATTAACTCTAAATCCTAAATTGGCTACTAGGATTACACTTCCTATTATTCATTTTAATCCTCTAGAATAATGTTCATCGCGTTAGCTATTCAACACTTCGAACGACATATCAAACGGCATCCTAAAACTCAAGTTACAACACTTTAAAACTGAATCTGCCAAAAATCAGGCATTATGGGTCGACGCAAAACCCCTTGGATCGACGCATACTGCTCTAACTGCACAACATAAGTCGATGCATCCTCTCATGGATCGACTCATCCTGAGTCTTGCACACAGCATGTACCGGCACATGCATCCCACAAATCGACTCATCCTGAGTCTTTCAACCTTCATGTATTGACGCAAGCCTCTTCGTGTCGACTCATACTGAGTCTCTAGGCCCTCATGTATCGACGCGTCAAGTTTGAGGTCGACACATCCTGATCCTTCCTGCATAATTATGCGATTTTCTCTGCATTTCACTATGGGATTCATGTTTTTAACCCTACAAACTTAATATAATCATGATAAATCATCACCTACAATTATCCTATAATACTACATCGATCAAACAACATTGGAACATCATTATTCTTCTAAAATTCATCAAATCTTCATCATACATCATCATATACATCCAATTCAAGAACAAAACAACAATCACCTCTAACCCCACACATCAATCATCATGAACCCAATTATAAAGTCAGAATCTCACCCTTACCTTGGATTGAAAGTCGCTCTATAATCTTCCGGTTGAATTCTCGTTCTGCCGTTTTCCCACTTTTTCCAGCAGCTTCACGTTCTCCTTCTAAATCCTTATTCTTCTACTGCTTCTTTCTATTCCTTCTAACAACAATAGAATAACCTATTATTATTTATTTCTTATTGGGCTTAAAACTAACACACCCCCTTATTACTTTTATTCCTTCAAAATAAGCCCACACCAAATAATATTATACTTCTAATATTATTTCTCCACTTAATAAATAAATCCAATTAATCATAACACATCTCCTCAAATATTCCAAAAATAATTTAATTAAATGATTAATTAAATTGCGGGCGTTACAACTCTCCCCCACTTAGAATATTTTTGTCCTCGAAAATTTACCTCAATCAAACAACTCAAGGTAGGAGTCTCGCATCTTGCTCTCCAACTTCCAAGTCATGCTCTCTCCGGCAGCTCCTAGCCAAACCACTTTAACCAAGGCAATCTCTTTGCCCCTCAGAGTCTTTATTTCATGATCCGCGATCGGTACAGGCATCGTCTCCACCGTAAGATTATCCCGTACTTGCAAATCATCCATATGAATCACATGAGATGGATCTGAAATATACTTCCGAAGTTGCGACATGTGAAACACATCATGCAAATTCGAAAGATTATGCGGTAAAGCCACTCTATAGGCAACATTCCCCACTCTCTCCGGAATCTGATACGGTCCAATAAAACGATAAGTGAGCTTCTTAGACTTCAATGCTCCTCCAACACCAGTCACAGGTGTAACTCTTAAAAACACATGATCACTAGCTTGGAATTCTAAATCTTTCCTTCACTTGTCATGATAACTCTTCTGTCTATTTTGTGAAGCTTTCATCTTTTCTCGAATCAACTTCACCTTCTCAGTAGTTTCACGAACAAGTTCAGGTCCAAGTACTACACTCTTACCAGATTCATGCCAACATAAAGGAGTCCTACATCTTCGACCATACGCTTCAAAAGGTGTCATCCCAATACTAGAATGGTAACTGTTATTATAAGTGAACTATATCAACGGAAGATAAGTATCCCACGAACCTCCCTGCTCAAGAACACATGCCCTCAGCAAATCTTCCAACGATTGAATCGTCCGTTCAGTCTGACCATCTGTCTGAGGATGATACGTTGAACTCAACCTCAACTTAGAACCCAAAGTTTCTTGCAAACTCTTCCAAAAATCAGAAGTAAATCTTGGATCTCTATCTGACACAATGCACAAAGGAACACCATGCAACTTCACAATCACACTAGTGTAAATCTTAGCCAACTTCGACACTCGAAAACTGATGTTAATAGGAATAAAATGAGCTGACTTCGTAAGCCTATCAACAATCACCAAAATTGAATCATGTCCTCTTAAAGTATTAGGCAACCCCATCACAAAGTCCATTGAAATGCTATCCCATTTCCATTCTGGAACTTCCAACGGTTGCATCAACCCTGCAGGCTTCTGGTGTTCAACTTTCAACTTCTGACAAGTCAAACATGCATACACAAAACGAGCCACATCACTCTTCATCCCAAACCACAAAAACAAGCCTTTCAAATCTTTATACTTCTTTGTAGCTCCTGGATGAATACTCAACCTACTCCTATGACTCTCTTCAAGTATCACTTTCTTCATCTCAGCATCATCAAGAATACAAATCTGGTTACGAAATCTCAACACACCTTGCGCATCCAGCTTAAAATCATTATTCTCAGACTAATCAATCCCAACCATCAAATTTACCAGTTTCATATCCAACTTCTGAGCTTCTCTGATACTGTCTATAAATTCATTATTAATCTTCAACATATCCAACATAACACTCTGCGGAGTAACCTCACAAACTAAGCTCATATCTCTGAACTGCTCAATCAATTCCAACTCTTTAATCATCATTGCTGACATATGTAAAGTCTTTCGACTCAACGCATCAGCTATCACATTCGCTCTTCCTGGATGATAATTCAAACCAAAATCATAATCCTTTAACAATTCCAACCATCTTTGTTGCCTCATATTCAACTCCTTCTGATCAAATAAATACTTTAAGCTCTTATGGTCACTAAACACTTTAAATCTAGCACCATAAAGATAATGCCTCCAAATCTTCAACACAAAGACAACAACAACAAGTTTTAAATCATGCGTAGGATAGTTCTTCTCATGAGTCCTCAACTGCCTTGACGCATAAGCAACTACCTTACCATTCTGCATAAGCACACCTCCTAAACCCATCTTAGAAGCATCACAATACACCACAAAAGGCTCTCCTGGATTAGGCAACGTCAAAATCGGAGCCGACATCAACCTCTTCTTCAATTCCGTAAAACTTTCTTGGCACTGAACATCCCACACAAACGCTCTACCTTTACAAGTCAACTTAGTCAACGGAAGTGACAACTTAAAAAACCCTTCGATAAACCTTCTATAATAACCAGCTAATCTCAAGAAGTTTCTAATCTCAGTAGCTGACTTTGGAGTTTCCCATTGCAACACAGCATCAACCTTCAATGGATCTACAACAATGTCACTACCTGAGATCACATGACCAAGAAAACTAACCTCTTTCAGCCAGAATTCACACTTGGACAGCTTTGCATACAACTTCTTCTCTTTCAAAATCTGCAATACTACCCTCGGGTGTTCTGTATGCTCTTCTTCTGACTTAGAGTAAATCAAAATATCATCAATGAACACCACCACGAACCGATCCAAATAAGTATGAAAGATACGATTCATATATTCCATGAATACTCCCGGCGTGTTAGTAACACCAAAAGGCATCACTGAATACTCATAATGTCCATAACACGTTCTAAAAGTCGTCTTCTGAATATCTTCATCCTTCACTTCAATCTGATGGTAACCCGACCTCAAATCAATCTTACTAAACACACGAACATCCACAAATTGATCCATCAAGTCATCTATTCTTGGAAGCGGATACTTGTTCTTAATCGTCACCTTATTCAACTGTCTATAATCAACACAGAGCCTCATACTTCCATCTTTCTTCTTCACTAACAACACTGGAGCACCCCACGGCGATACACTGGAGCACCTCACATAACTATTATAATCATCAAAACACCACAAATACGCATCATAACTTAATTGAATTTAAGGTTAAGAACGCTACTCTTAAAATCATCATAACTCTTCTCATATATGTAATTGAATTGAATTGACTCATATAAATAACGAGTCGAAATATATATAATTCTAGTTCAACTAATTTAGTTTACGAGATTAATTTTTCTTATATTTATATCATTACCATAGCAACATTTTTCTTTTTCAGCTTTATTATTATTTTTTCAAACTTACATATTTTATTTATCTTTTTCCTGAAAATAAACTAACAATCAATGACGACTTTTTCTATTATTCTAGAAAAAAACGACTTTTCTATTATGAAAAATCTAAGAAGACTTTTTTATTTAAAAATAAAAATTCACAAACAAATCGAGGTACAAATAATACCAAAAATAAAAGAAGTCATGAAAGAAGCAAAGAAAAAGAACCTATATGTTATCAAATAAAATCGAAATTATTATATTTTCTGCAACCAAAATTACCAAAAATAAATAAAAATAACAAAACAAACAACCTGTCGAGTTCTTCACCATCAAGAACAACAACAACGAAACTGCACCTTGACCCATACACCACCAAACGCCGTCGTTTAACCCCAAACCAAACCCCAAACCTCAACCCTAATCCATTTCCAAATTCCAATCATTCATGATCAAAATGGGTTCACCACCTCCATGATCGCACGAATTCAACATTTTTTTTAGCGTTGAATTTCAATTATAGGATGTCGAATTTGTACGGCGATTATAACCAGAAGATCGATTACGTTTTCAAAGTGGTGTTGATCGGAGACTCGGCCGTCGGAAAAACGCAGCTTCTTGCTCGGTTTTCAAGAAATCAATTCAACGTGGATTCTAAAGCTACCATCGGCGTTGAGTTTCAGACCAAAACTCTTGTTATTGATAATAAAACTGTTAAGGCTCAAATATGGGATACTGCTGGTCAAGAAAGGTGCACTTTTCTTTATTTCCTCTGATTTTTTCTTGTTTTAATGTTTTTGTGTATTAATTTCTTGCTTTAATTCATTATTGGGAATTTTTTATGAATAATAATGATGATAGGACCTTCCTAAACTTCATATTAGATTGCATATATGAATGGAAGAGTAGCTAATCTATACATTACCTCTACAAATTTAAGACGACTCTGACACTGATATTACGTATTGATGGGATTTTGGTGTTGACCGGACGGCATGTTACATTCAATCACTTTTTAAACTATTAGAAGTACATGTTTAAACTTTCTTGTGTGCTTAATTAGCATCTAGTTAGGGACTGGGGTTGTGTTGCAAATGGGTGGTTATTGAATTTGAAGTTATATTGTTAATTGTTACTTTGTTGGCTGTTGATTTTGTGGGTGCTTGGGGTAAAGATTTTCCCTGTATACAACTGTTCTACGAGGCAGGGTCTCGGGAGAATAGATGTATGAAACTTTACCTTTGAAAGCCGAGAGACTGTGTCTTGCATGTCCTAAAGTCACAAAAAAAAAACTTATCATTGCGCTAGACTCATCGTGTTAGAACTGGTATAATAAAACTAATAATATCACCGAATAATAACTTTTTTATTGATTAATTACAAGGAACATCACGAGAAAACTTTGAGTAGTTAATGGAACATTAAAACAGAGTTCCTCTGTTTCGGGAAAAAAAAGAAAAATTGGAATGGAAGTTACAGTTGACTTTTACAATACAAAAAATTAGGAAATAACACCAACTAAGGAAAGAGATAGTCTACTGGTTCAAGGTTTGTCCAGGTTTGTCCTATCCTGTCAAAGAAATTTGAGAGTCTTGGTCTCTTCCTTCCAATAATTAGAGACCTTGGTCTCTCTTCCATATTTGCTTAGTAACTATCCCAACATCACTTTCCCCTTGTGTTTCTCTGTATATTCCTAAAATTAAACAAGATAAATGACATAATTAAACATAGCTACCCCTAACCGCCTCTTTTCTGTTTTTTTTTCTCCTTATGTAGTTCTCTAAAAAAAGGTCTAACATTATCCTACTGGGTGCTTGGGGTTTTGTTTGAAAATTTGATTTAAAATATGATCATACAACAACAACAACTAAACCTTATCCCACTAGATGAGTCGGCCACATGGATCAACTTTCGCCATAATTTTCTATCAAGGACCATGCTTCTATCCAAATCATTAATTTCGAGATCTTTCTTAATAACTTCTCTTATAATCTTTCTTGTTCTTCCTCTATCTTGAATGGTTTGTCTTCTCTCCATCTGGTCTACTCTGCTTGCTACATAATCTTCAGGTCTCCTTTCTACATGTCCAAACCACCTAAGTCTATTTTTCACATCTTTTATCAGGATGATCATATTTTATTAAATTTGTTTTGATTAAAACTGAAACTTTGAATCGATTGAAATAAAATTAATATTATGTTGGGTTCAAGTGTGAGTGGTAGTTCCACAGTGAATATGAGCGCCAAATATATAAAGCTTTGGGTAGAGATGTGGTGTTGCCCTCTCTTGTGATCTTTTGGATCATTGATCCGATGCTCCTGGCGCTCCCCTTGATCGATATAAATTATTGTTTGGATATTTAATACAATTCACTTTAAAATGTGCAACTAAGCTGAAAAAAAGTAGTACAATATTTAATTATCATAAATTATTTGTCAAAGCATATGCAACTAGTTGTTTCCACCACAATTACATCGTTCAATTGATTTTAACACAGCCAGTTGTTTTCTGCATGCAAGTTCATATAAGTAACCTACATCATATGCTGCCTTCTTTTTATATGGCCTGGGTATATATGTTCTCTGCTATCTAGATTAGGCTGGGTTGCATATTGATTGGTTAAAATCACTACCCAAATTGTTGTTTCTTTTCAAATTTTATTCGAGAGTGTGAGGCTTTTATTTGGTACACTAAATCTGAAACCAATCTCTTCTCTCATTATCTCAGGTACAGAGCAGTGACTAGTGCTTATTATCGCGGAGCAGTTGGAGCGATGTTAGTTTACGACATGACAAAGCGTCAATCATTCGATCACATGGCAAGGTGGTTAGAGGAACTTAGGGGTCATGCAGACGCAAATATTGTCATAATGCTAATTGGCAACAAGTGTGATCTGGGAACTCTCAAAGCAGTACCAACTGAAGACGCTCAAGAGTTTGCACAAAGAGAGAACTTATTCTTTATGGAAACATCAGCACTGGAGTCGACCAACGTCGAAACCGCCTTTCTGACTATTCTTACAGAAATTTACCGACTTATCAGCAAGAAAACACTTACTGCTAACGACGAGGCTGATCCTGGTGGTAGTTCAGGGCTTCTGAAAGGAACAAAGATAATCGTTCCTAGTCAAGATGCGAGTGCTCTTGAAAAGAAAGGTGGTTGCTGTGGATAGTCCTAGCTTTAGGAAGCTCATTGCTAACTCTAGCTCTGCCTACATGTGATGTGGGTGTTTTTAGAGAGGGTAGTTCGATCTCATCAGCAAAATGTAGGGTTTCTTTATTTGATACTTGTTTCTTGCAAACATATGGTTTTTCTTCTTTTTGTGGTTATAGGACTTAAACTTGTTCATACAAATTAATGGCTGTGAAGGCCTGGTTCAGTTTAGATAGAAGAATGGAAACAGAACAGTTGAGCTATGATTTAGAGGTTTTGTTGGTTTGCTGTCCCGTTTAGTTCTTAAAACATAAAAGCTATAAAAGTATATCTTAAAGAAAGGTATAAAAATTCAAGATCCTGTCAACTGTATGTAATGTAAGTGATTCTCAATCAGTATTGGGGATTCAAAGTAATCTTTCCATAAGTGAATCAATCAATACTCTTTAGGATATTTTCATTTACAATTTTAAATACGATATGCAAATTCTCAAACAAAATATAATCATGTTTTTGTTTTCTGTCATTCCAAAAGGATTCTTTTTGTACCCATTATTTTTTCAGTTTTACAATTTACCTGAAAGATCTTTCTGGAACCATATATTGGAACCCTCTAAAAGGATCGTTTCAAAATGACAATAAAGAATTTATATTAGCTCTATTTTGTATATGATCATTGTTTCCGAATCTTTTAACAAAACGTTTAGGACACGAGAAGACATCTTTGTGTGCATCTGTTTGCACAGAGCATTCATAGAGGCAACATTGATGGCTGTCGTCTCAGCAAGATCTAGAATACTCTCTCAAGCACAGATTGAGCATTCATAGAGGCAACATTAATGGCTGTCGTCTCAGCAAGATCTAGAATACTCTCTCAAGCACAGATTGATATGTCTTTCCTACCACTGTTGACTATGACTAAGTGTTTATTGATGTTTTCAGGAAATTAAATCACAAGTTATAGTTTACTTTAATGGATTAAACTCGAAAAAAATTTCTGGAGAGAAAAATGTATTTGTGCTCGAGTATTTGGTGTTTGTATATAGAGAAATTGGAAAGAATTTCCACCAAAAACAATGTAGAATTGTTTAAAGATACAATGAGTACAAAAAAAAGTAAGTAAATAAATGTTTTGATTAAGTAATTAGAAAAGGGGTCCAAATTCATACATGTTATTTTAGAAACTATTTTCTCTCTATAACTTATATACTTGAGTTTTATAGGGAATGCTGATAAAATTTGCAAACCCTAATTACATAACTAAAATTGACTTATATACTAAATACATCAATGGTCGTCGATAACTGTTACTACTCTAGAACTCGACAAGTATACTGCTACGTGGACATTTGTTCTTTTCTTTGCTTCCATGTATATTTGGTTTTTGATCAACATCTAAACTGCTATCCAAGTTGACAACTGCTCTTACATCTCTTAACCGCTTAGGTTGAAAATATCTTCAAGTCTCCAGACGGCCACTGTCGTATAAATCAAACAACTGCAAACCTTTTCGAGATTTTGAATATGTTTTGAAGAGAGAGTGATCTCAACCTTGTGGATCTGTTTATAAGATTCCTCCATCCTAATCTTGTGGATCTGTTCCTGAGATTCCTCCAAACCAGACTTAGTGGGTCTCTAGGTTATCTAATTCTTGGACTCAAGAATAAACTAAGTCCCAAAACAAATGATAGGTGAGTTGAATCTACCACCTTAGTCGAAATGACCAATATGTCAAAAACTTATAACCCGGTCACCTTGTACTTGGCATTTTCACACTTTTCTTATACTTTTCATGTTGAGAATTAAAGTTCAAATTCTCAAGCTAACACTAAGTGACTTCAAACACAAGAAGGGTCAGGGTGAATTGTTTTTTTTAAAGATTTTCTAAAACTATTCTATTTTAGGTTGATTGATTTTAAGAAATGACAAGAAAAAGAGATTAAGCAGCGAAAAATAAAGAGATAGATATAGAAAGGTCACACTATGATGTATACTGGTTCAGTCTTAAATCACATGACCTAGTTTAGTTCTTAAGAGATCCCTCATGAGATTTTTACTAAAGTTGAGCTTTTATACTAGGGTTAACCCTACAACATTCCTTACACCAATTTTTTAAATCAAATTTAGCTTGCAACCTCATAGTAAATTATTGAGATACAAGAAAACTATGCTTTTGAATTACAATTTCAACACAACAATAAAATTACACAAATCTCAATATAAACCTTTCACTATCTCATCACTAAAATAATGTATAGTGAATAAAATTAGTGGAAAAGGAGAGTAGTAAGTAACCATTGGATGTATCTATACAAAACACTCCATGGTAAAGGACCTGACAGACTTAGTGCATCCTTTAGTATCAAATGATTATAGAAATAATCAAATATCACGTAAACATCTAAGTGAACGATAGTGGGAGGAGCATACACGATAGAGGTCTCTTGGAATACATTATAGAAACCTAAATTATCCCATAACTCACTCAGACATATATGGATACATTAGACATGATCCACAAGCCAATCATCTGGTGTAGAAGGCAATGTTATCCAAGGGACACGTCTGATAGGGATCACCGCACGAACTATAGCGTATATTATCTTCTCTATTGCAGTCAAGAAACACTCTAAAGGACTTGATCGTTTGATTCCATCTGAGCGGGATGAAGGATCAAGAATGTGGTGGCTAAACCTTATCATATTCATCCACATTTGACTAGGTAGATATGGGTGAAAAGTGAGAGATGATCTATGTCGAAAAGTGGTTTAGATAAAATATTAGTAATATTGTAGCACACGAGTTTTTAAATATTAGTAATATTAAAGGTGGAAATAATAAAGTGTTGCTTGTTGTCGTATAGAAATGAAAATATAGCTTAACACCCTTTAGTGTCATCCATCTTCTCTTGGACATCACCTGAGCCAACTCCCAAGTATTGCATCATCATGTCTAGTGCCTCATGTTTAAAGATTATAGGGTGGTTTAATAATCTTCTCTTGATCCTAAGATATAGGAGGGATGATACATCATCAAGTGTGATGAACATCTCACCAATCGAAAGATGAAAAGATTGCATATTTGAGTGTCATCTCTCCACAAAAACAGACAACATGTCATGGTTAATAACTTTATAATAACTCATGCATAAACCTTTCAACCCAAGTTGTTGCATGATATCATGAAACCGTAGCTTTTCATGTTGTTGTAGCTTCACAATATTTCTATCGCGATTGATGTTTTTTAAAGTCTCACGGTAGTGTAAACAAATACATCCCCATTATAAAGTTCAAATATAAGTCATGTCTAGTGAAGAGTCATAGAGGCCTCCTAGAAAACACCAGGAATGGAAGCAACAACAACAAGTTCATCAAAATGTACTTCTGAGGCTTCTGGGGAAGCAGCACGGGACACATGCCTTCGAAAAGATGATATTGAAGACACCTGAACTCGGGAAAACGACACTTCCGCATCAAATAATCTGACACTAACTTGTGGTCACGAGGGTTTAGCTATTTCCTTGCGAACAAATGCATAATGGCCACTCTAATGTGTCTTAATCTATCTTGGTTGGAAACCATTTTACATATAATTAAACTAGAAATATCATATCATAATTTAAAAACTCAAACCTACATGACATACATGCAAATCAAACAAACTCAGGAGTTGCAGAAAAATTACGGAAGTGAATTCCCGTAACTCATGAAACTCAAATCTAGAAGAAAAAAAAATCTAAAAGTGCACTTCCGTAACACTCGAAACTCAGAAATTGCAAAGAACGCTGAAACCCAACACACCCTATGCTCTAAACATAAAAAACATGTACATGCATGCCTGAATAAACTACCTATTATGAGTGTAACTACAACCTAATGTACCTTAATCAATATATTTAAGTGATGCATGGATTAGAAACCAAAAAAGAAAGAAAATAAAAACTTATCAAATGTGAGAGTGGAAGCTCTTGGATTGAGTGAAGTGGAGTTGAGATTGAGTGATGTCTTGGGATTGAACGCAATGCAGTAGAAGTTGTGAGAAAGTTTAAAAAATGATGAAAATATGGTTTGCTCACGAGATCTGTTTTAAGTTCAAAATAAATTGCTAAAGTAAAGAAGGAAGGGAAAAGGTTTTGGAGTGATAATATAACTCAAAACGCGTCTAGAGATATACTTCTGTAGTATTCACTAAGTTGTAAAATCAGAGGTTATTACGAAAGTATATGTAACACCCCGATTTAATTATAATTATTTTTAATTCAATAATAAGATGATGCGGTGAAATTATATGAGTTGATGAGTTTTATGATGTGGTGTGATGTCTTGTTGGGGACTAGATGCCTTAGAATTATAGAAGTTGAGGTTATGAGGGTGTTTGGCTAAATGTGTAGAAACACAGGGGTGTGTGGAATAATGTAGATTATTATTATTATTATTATTATTATTATTATTATTATTATTATTATTATTATTATTATTATTATTATTATTATAATTATTATTATTATTATTATTATTATTATAATATCATTAGAATAATAATTATTATTTTATAATAATGATTAAATAATTATTTATTGGGTTAGTAAATTCTTTGGGATATATTAGAGTGAGAAGGAGAAATAGAGTCGGTAAGTGAAAATAGAAGAAAAATAGAGAAGTTAGAAGAGGAGAAAGACGCTAGGAAGTTAGGGCAAGGATTTCACCATAGAAATCAAGAATCAGTCGAAAATCTAAAGTAAGGGGAGATTCTAACTCTATAAGTATTTTCTTAATGATGGGATATGGTAGGATTTAGGTCCCATGAATGTATACTTTTGATTTTTCCTTATTTGGTTGTTTTGGGGTTTTCTCCATTGATGGATTTTTGGTGATTTTGGTGTGTTTTTGATGGGATTGGAGGATATGAATTGATTTTGATTGATAGACAAATGTTGGTGAGTAATTAGCCTGCTTAAAAGATGAATTTGATGAGAAAACTATGAATTTAAGGGATTGAAATATGGAAGGATCGTAACTG